CAAATCAATGTAACCCCCACTGTTGGAGGCAGGGACTGTTGGGAGGTGTTTGGATCATGGGGGTGAGTTCCTCATGAATGGCTTGGGCTATCCCCTTAGTGATAAGTGAGTTCTTGCTCTGAGTTCACATGAGATCCGGTGGTTTAAAAGTGTGTGGCACCTCCTTCCAATCCCATCTTGCTCCTGTTTTCACCATGTGAAGTGTTTGCTCCCACACTTGACTGTAAGTTTCCTGAGGCCTCCCTAGAAGGTGAGCAGATGCCAGCACCATACTTCCTGCACAGCCTACAGATCTGTAACTGCCAATTTAATCTCCTCTCTTTGTAAATAATCCAGCCTCAGGTATTTCTTCAGAGCAATGCAAGAAAGGCCTAAAACACAGAAATAGAAAAAAAATTTCTGAATTCATACAGAATCACAGAAGACCCCAAATTGCCCTAAAGCAATCCTAAGCAAAAAGAATAAAGTGAAGGCTTCATACTACCTGACTTCAAAATGTATACCAAAGCTACTGTCACCAAAATAGCATGGTAATGATATTAAAAGAGATACACAGACCAATGGAACCAAATAGAGAACTCAGAAATAAATCCCCATATTTACAGTCAATTAATTTTTGACAAAAGTGCCAAGAACATACAAAGGGGAAAGGAAAACCCCTTCAACAAATGGTGCTGGGAAATCGGATATCCATATGCAGAAGAATGAAACTAGATCTCTTTGATGTGGCCAGGCACGGTGGTTCACACCTGTAATCCCAACACTTTAGGAGGTTGAGGTGCGCAGATCACCTGAGGTTGGGAGTTTGAGAACAGCATGACCAACATTGAGAAACTCTGTCTCCACTAAAAATACAAAATCAGCCAGGTGTGGTGGTACAAGCCTGTAATCCCAGCTACTTGGGAGACTGAGGCAGGAGAATCGCTTGAACCCAGGAAGCCAACGTTGCGGTGAGCAAAGATCACACCATTGCACTCCAGCCAGGGAGACGAGAGTGAAACTCCATCTCAAAAGAAAAAAAAAAGAAGATTAAATGTAAGATCAAAAACTATAATGTAAGATTAAATGTAAGATCTAAAACTATAAAACTACTAGAAGAAAACATTGGAAAAATATTTCAGGACACTGATATAAGCAAAGATTTGTGTGAGTAAGATATCAAAAGCACAGGCAAAAATAAAGTAAAAATAGATAAATGGGATTATATCAAGCTAAGGAGCTTCTGCACAATAAAGGAAATAATCAACAGAGGGAAGAGACAACCTACAGAATGGGGGACAATATTTGCAAGTTATTCATCTGACAAAGAGCTAATATTTAGAATATGCAAGGAACTCAAAAACTTAACAGCAAAAGTAGTGCAATTTAAAAAATGGATAAAGTATCTGAGTAGACACATTTCTCAAAAGAGAACATGTAAATAGCCAATAGGTATGTGAAAATGTTCAACATCACTAATCAGGAAAATACAAATCAAAACCACAATGAGATATGGCTTCATCCCAGTCAGAATGGCAGTTATCTTCCAGAGATGGAAATAAATGGGAAAAAATAACAGATGCTAGTGAGGATGCCAAGAAAAAGGAATGCACATACTGTTGGTGGGAAAGAATTTCAGTACCGCCATTTGGAAAAACAGTATGGAGATTTCTCAAAAAAATTAAAGATAGAACTACTGTATGATCTACCATCCCACTACTAGGTATTTATCCAAAGGAACAGAAGCCAGTATATCAAAGAGATATCTGCACCCTCACGTTTACTGTAGCACTGTTCATAGGAGCCAAGATGGAATCTGTCTCTATGTCTGTCAACAGATGAATGGATAATGTGTTATGTACACAAAATGGAATAGTATTCTGCCATAAAAAAGAATGAAATCCTGTCATTTACAACATGGATGAGCCTGAACAACCTTACGTTAAGTGAAATAAGGCAGACACAGACACACAAATACCATATGTTCTCACTCATACGTGGAAGCTAAATGTGAGCTCATAGACGTAAAGAATAGAGTCAGGGAAGGGGAGGAGAAAGGAGAGGAAAGGGAGAGGCTGGTTCATGGATCAAAAATTACCACTAGATGGGAGGAATAAATTCTAGTGTTCTATAGCACTATAGGGTGAATATAGTTTAATAACTTGTATGTAGTTCAAATAGCTAAAAGAGAGATTTTGAATTGTTCCTTACACAAAGAAATAAGCGTTTGAGATGATGGATATGCTAATTACCCTGATTTGATTATCACACACACTACACATGTGTCAAAATAGCACTTTGTATCCCATAAATATTTACCATTACATGTCAAGTATGTATATATATATGAATACAATTAAAAATAATACAATTTAAAAAAAAAATTCATGTGTGCTCAGGCCAGAAGACAAGAGATAGATGGAGCTATCAGGACTGAGGGCCCTAAGTCACAGGTTCCCACTAGGTGTCAGGAAAAAAGAAACAGCTCAGCTATTTAGAGATGAGGGATCAGGTAAGAGCGAAACTATTAGGGGTAGCAAGAGTATTATCTAAACATAAAAACCGGGGCTAAAAGGCTCTCAGGCTCTTGCAGCTAAGGTAAGGATTGGGCATGGAGACTGGTGAGGGACTAGGACATATCCATGTCTGGGAGAAGAGGGACTGTCACCCAAGATGTGAGTCCTGTAGCTCCAGCTAAGAGTTGAAAAGGCATACTGTGAGGCCACATAATATGTTGATTCGAAACAGGTTTCTAGAACCAGATAGCCTGGGTTCAAATCCCATCTTTGCTAAATACTCACTGTGTGATCACCAGGCCTCAATTTCCTTACCTAATAAAAAGGGTGATAAGAATACTCACCTGAAAGGGCAGGTGAAGATTAAATGCGTTGGAATATGTGAAGTGCCTGGAACAGTCCTTGTCCAGCACAGGGTGTTTGCTATATAATCATTTGTGTGTTACATAGTCTGAGAACCTGCTACTACTTGCAGTGCACTCCTAAAGCTTTGTAACTGCAGCTATAAACAATCAAAAACATTTACCTTCAAGCCAAACAACAAAAAACTCTAGAGATGCCATTCTTATGTTTATTTAAGGAGTGAATATACTGTATGTCTATATATGCATCAGATTCTGTGAGGGGATTTAAAAAGATGAATCCGAAAAGGATTTAACCTTCCAACCTAGTAGAGGAGACAAACCCTGTGCACAAATAATTGCAATAAAAGAGACTGTAAAATCCCTTAGGAAATATACAAAAAAGTGGTGGGGTTGTTCAGAGGGGAAGGTCACTACAACTGGAAGAACCAAGAACGACTTCAGAGGGGTGGGAGCATCTTGGACTGAGGAAAAGATCTTAATCTAAACACCAGAACATTGCCATGATAGTAGAATTGTTTGTTGCTAATACATACCTAAAGAAAAGGCCTTAACTTTGTATGTCATCCTTCCATATGTTGTCACATTCGGCTTCCTGTGCCTCAATATATTTGCAAGTACATAAAAACAAAAACACCCCTTAATAAAAGAAGCTTTGCTTTTTCCTTCTTTGAAAGGTAATTCCAACATTTCTAAAATAGTCCTGTGCTTTTTGACATCCGCATATTGGTTGTTCAAAATGTACATCTCCCTTAGGAAATTCATTACATTTTAAATTATACATGTCTGTTAAAGCATAGATCTGTTCCACCTTCCTTGTATTTGTTATTGCTGCTTCTGAAACTTCCTTACAGCCCCAAAGAGGTCTTAATCCCTGTCAAATGTTATTATGTTACCAACTTTTATGTAGTCTTGAAAGGGGTTGTTTATTTAGTTTCAGTGACTCCTTGTTACTGCCAAATATTATTTCATTTCAGCACAGATGTAAGGGCTCCAATGACTGGAATTATTTTACAGCCCTGACATTGTGGAGAGATGGATACCAGTTTAATTATGGACAGCTGAAAATGATTCAGGAGTCACCTGCTACAGATATTTATCATCATTATGAATTTCTCACCAAGCTGTGGTCTGAGCACTTTCATAACGTTCTCTTTGTGTTAGACAGACAGGATGATCTATATGGAACCTATGTCTTCAGCCACCTTTACATTTATGTATAGACAGTTTAATATTGCTTATTTTCTTTTCCTCTTCTCAAAGTGAGAAAATATGTTTCGATCATTCCTGTTCTTTTCCTTTCCTCTTTTTTCTCTTTCTCTCCATAGCCCCCTCTCACTGCTACCCTTATCCTTCCAGCTGTTTTTCCAATTATGCCTCATTGGAAATTACTCATTACTTAAAGTATGTGAATTGGATAGACTAGACACATACAGGATTAAGTAATGCAATAACTACAATATCGCTGGCCCTAAATAAATGCAGAAAGAATGAAGGAGGGAAGGGAGCAGAGGGGACAGGAGAGGACGCTGTAAAATTAGAGAACGCTATTCGTGGAATTCCTCCATCTCACTTTTGAGAAGAAATTAATAGCATAATTTTTTCTCTACATCCTCCCCATTATACACTGCACCGTAACAAAATATATTTTTACGCCTTCTCTTTTTATCTTTGCTTCTCTCTAAACAGATCTCAATTTGTCATTTTCAGACTGGACAAAGGGTTAAATAAAAGGGCTAGCCAGGTTATGGCCAGCTGGTCATAAATTCAGGTCACTGTCTCACTGCCCAGTTCCATTCTCTGCTGTCCCAACTGGGCTGTGGGATCTTCTAGAATCCCAGCTCTGCCCTGGATGTATGAACAACCGTTTAAGCGCTGACTTCAGCGAACGTTTACCATGCATTTGTCATTCGCGTGCAGGGTTTTTACACGGGTTATCTCATTTAATTCTGGGTACAGAATTATGAGGTCAGCACTGCTCATATTCCTTTCTCAGTTCTTTCCGTTCTCAGTCGGGACAATTTTGCCCCCAAGGGGAACATTCCGCAATGTCTGCGGGTCCCTTCGCTTATCACAGCTCGGTGGAATATAGGGGTTCGCTAAACATCCTGCAATGCACAGACAAACCTCCTGCGGTAATTACCTGGCTCAAGATGTCAACGGTGCCGCCGCTGTCGATTTTTAAAGGATGAGGTTGAAAGGGCTGAGTAACTTGCCTGCGGCTACGCGGTGAGAGCTGGGAAGACAGGAATGAAAACGGAGCCCGCACTTTGGCATTAACTTGCGCATGCAGAGTCACGGCTTCCGCCACAGATTCATCGTTCCTGTACCGAAAGAGCGAAAATCCCCCGTTGGAATCTTACGTGAGAATATCTCAACACATGTGGCCTTTTGCAGTCATTTGCAAATTATCTGCTCTTCCATCATTTTCATCAAATATGCAGAATCAGGCCCATCTAATGCAGCCTTTCATTCTAAACAGAAAATTCTGGAAACTCACAGGCACACATTGTGGCAATAGTTCCTCTGACTTTCTGATGGTAGAAGCAAATATAGCAAGATGTAAGATAAAAGCAGAATGCATGAGCAAACAATCATGCTACCTAAGCAATACATTTTAAAGACAGGACAAACGGCAACAGCTTACTCTGATGAATAAATTGTATGTATTTAATATGACATATTTAATAATGAACAGCCCCTTGTGTTCTGCAGGATAATTAGATAGAAATGGTAAACAGTCATCAGTATTCTTTTTAAAATGCCAACCGAAAATATTGATAATCTTTTTCTCTTTTTATTAGTTCTCCAATATGTGCAAATCACAGTTTTGACAGTGCTTTTAGATACTGAATATATTTTAATAATCTGAATAAACCCCAAGGCAGCTGTGCACATACACATATTTTGTGCACACATGGACGTGCACTCATGTATACCAGCGGTCCCCCACCTTTTTGGCACCTGGGGCTGGTTTTGTGGAAGACAACTTTTTCACAGAGTGGGGAGCAGGATGATTTCATGATGAAACTGCTCCACCTCAGATCAGCAGGCATTATATTCTAATAAGGAGCACACAGCTAGATCCCTCGTGTGCACTTCACAATAGGGTCCACACTCCTATGAGAATCTAATGCCACCGCTGATCTGACAGGAGAGCTTGGGCAGTAATACTCCCTCACCTGCCATGCAGCCCAGTTCCTAACAGGCCATGGAGAGGTTAGGAACTGGTCCTAACTGGGGGATGGGACCCCGTGATATGTACCTCAGAAGTCACACACCACATGCCCACCCACATCACACACAGGCACACATAGATAGGTCCCGGATCTTACTCGCCAGAGCGGGTTTCTTTTGCCTTTACTCCTCTCCCACAGTACAGGGTTGCTGCCTCCCCTTGTTTCGCTGCAGTCACCCACCCACCCTCTCTGATGCTTATCCTCCTGTGACCTTGGCTGGAGTGGGAGTTCCATTTTCCCTTCAGAGGCTTTCTCCTGAATAACCTAGTCCTGGAGCATAACAGCAACTCCAGGCAGGGAAGCCCAGGGGTGCTGCTCTCAACCCTGGCCTGCGAGCACCACAAACACCAAAACTGTTCACCCAAAGCCAGACTTAGGCATTTCAAATTTCCAGATTGCCTCTTACCCTAAATTCTAAACTGCCACACTTGTTACTTATGGCTTGAAATTATTTCATCAGTCATTAGTCCCTTTCATTCTATAATAAGAAATAAAACCCTCAAAATATAGCTAAACTACAGGTGTAAATAAATTTTGTTCAAGTGAGCTACCAAGTTAAATATTTTCTATTTTCGTGGCAGGAAGGATTTAAAAAGCAAAAAGTCATCTGGTAGCTAGAAGTGGGAGGGGTGTAACAGAGGGGTTTTAAAAGGTAACCGAAAGGAGCCAGAAGGAAATTCTTCATTCTTCCTATTCTTGCCTCGTACCAGCCCTGTTTGTGTAAATCCATACAAAGACAAATTTCTTGTATGGCCACAAGCAGCAATACCTTACCTTGAAAGCCGTAGATTTTCCTTACTCCTCACCTTTAGTGCTATGTAAATCTGAGTACACCACTGTTATTCAATACATGTATGTAAGCATCTCCTGTGTTAATAAAATTTGCCAGCAATGGCGCTGAAAAGGTATCCTTCAGCTTGGGAATAAAATAAGAGGGACAAAGTGATGGGATGATTAAATGAATATAATTTTAAATGAAATACTATATTTCACTTTTCCCTATCATATAGACCTTCTCTGACCAAAACAATAGTCACTAGCCACTCGTGGCTATTTCCAGGTTAATTTTAATCAATTAAAAACAAAATAAAAAATTTGTTTTCTTAATCTCACTAACAATATTAAAGGACTCAATAGTCATATGTGGTTTTGTAGCTACCATATTGTATACTACAGATAATGAATATTTCCATCATCACAGAAAAACTGTTAGCACTAATACTGACAAAAGTTGGAGAATACTCATCGTTTATATGGGAAGTGGGGGAACGGACCTTTCATATCGTTTTGGTGGGAACAAAGCTGCTACTAACAAAATCGCACATGCACTTCATAGAAAAAAGGAAAACTGAAATTGTTTAAATGTTCATCAATGGGGAACTAGTTAAGTAAGTGAGCAAACACCCACACGATAGAAGAATATGCTATTTATTAAAAACCACATACATAAGCAAAACGTGTCAGCACTGAATGCTGTCCTGGATGTGTTTTTGTGTAAAAAATGCAAACCAGAAATCACTTAATATGAATAGTGCAATCCCATTTTTATTTGAATATACATATATGAGTATGTACTTTTTACTGTATAAAGGACCATTATGCTCATCTTTATTTAATCAGTCGTATATTAGAGAAATGAGCTACCCAAAAGAATATGTGTTGAAAGCCTGTTTGCTCAGCCCTGTGCTAGCCTGAACTGAGTCAAGATCTAGCTTATAGGTTCTGCTTCTGTTTGTTGAGGTCTTTATATATCCAGAGCAATCCTAAGCCATTCGCCTCCCAAAAATAGGTTAAATATGAAGTCATATTTTGTGAATTTTTACAGTTACCGCGATACACACCATGGGCCTCCAAGGAAGTCCCGGAAGCCAAATAATTATTTTAGGGAAACTGGTTGATATTTGGAGCTGCTAGAGGGAAAGTTCTCTCCTAGATCACCTCTCTTCTACCACCCCTCTTCTCTCTGCTTCACACAACCACAGCTTGCCCTTTCTTCCACCACCTCACTCCCATAACCTGTTCAAGACAAGAGAGATGCAGATCCAGATTTCTAGGCAAGCTCAGAATTCACTTGGGATTGAATATGCAGCAGGTTAAGCAATGATTCAAGCTGCTTCATATGACTTCTTGTAAACACACAAGGGAAATCATGTGGCAGCCTTCATGGGAGCTTATTCTATCTATCTATCTATCTATCTATCTATCTATCTATCTATCTATCTATCTATCTATCATCTGTATTATATACACATATATATGCATGTATGTATAATCCACGCACACACATGGATGCATGCATACATTTGGTTTCCATGAGCGCTCCTAGGGCAATTCTAAGCATTGAGCAGGTGAATGCCTGTGTTTACTAATGTAGGAAGGTACTAGAGAAAGGACAACTGTTGGAAGGGAGTGAGGACACTAGTGTCTGTAGGGAGACCTGACCCCACGCAAGGAAAGAAGTTGGCTCATGTGGTATACTTTTGTTGGACCAAATCATTAGATAGTAAATATGATGTGAGTCTTTGAGCCAGGTCAGTGATAAAGGAAATGTGTTTATTTATTAGTGTGTACAGAATTAGAATCTCCCTAACAGAAAAAGAGCATCTAGATCCTTTAAAAATCTTCACGCCGTAAAACATAAGCATGGCTTCCTGCCTCATCTGTACTCCCTGAAGAATTCCTCCTTCACCAACCATTCCTGGAACTGAGTGACCTTTGGTCATTCAGCCTAGAGCCTCCCTCTGGTCCTGGTGGCCTCTCTGCCTGGAGAGCTGACCTGATGAGGTGCAGGAGACACAGGCCTTGCCTGCCAACAGTTTTCTCCATTTTAGTAAGTCTCACTTGCCCATAAGACTCATGCTTTCTTTGAGTTTTTGATTCATGCCAGGCACATTTACTTGGCATTCTGGCTTGAAGAGCACTAAGGTTTTAACCCACTCAGGACTGTTTTTTGCATAGTTCTGGAAACTTAGATTTTTTACTGATTACTTCCCAACAACTGCCAGCTCTCTGCTCCCATGTCCTCCTATGTCTGTCATCCCCCCAGTACCTATAGCCCCAGCCAGCTCACCTCCCAGTGCACACACACATGCGCAGATGCACACACATATTTTGACCGTAGATGATGGACAAATAATCTTTACAGTGCTGCAATGTTGAAGGTTTGATTATTCTCTTTTAATTAATACAACTAAGGCCAGGGAGTAGAAGCCTTTGGCGATGTTATGTGAAAAGGTACATTTCCTCTTAAATTCTGTCTCTAATTTTTTCTTCCATCAAAAACTTGTCCTTCAAACAAAGATTGCTGAAAGATTTGTTTTTCATCTGAGACCAAACTACTGGCTACTGGTTGGGTAGAACCGTGTAACTGTGGGGCACGAGAAGAATTTTGAATGGAAATTAGTTTGTAAACATTTTTCTTTCTCCACCTCTCTTAGGAATGACTCACATACCATGAAAATGTTGTCTCAGATTTTGAGTTCAGCATAGACATTTATTTTCATTAATTATTTCAATGACTCACAATGTCATTCCCTTTGGGGGTCACACAGAAAGAAAGTGGGATTTAAAGAGTCACGCCTTTTCAGAGCAACCCTGGGGGAGGCCAAGTATGCCCAGCCTCCGCCATTCCTAATGGTGCCAGGGGCAGGCTGTGCCTTTCAGCAGGGTGTGGGGCATGTAGTCTGCTTTTGTGTGGGCTGCCCTAGGGCAGCTCGGTAGGAGGACACTGCCCAGGGCACTCCTCAAGGCTGCCTGCCCATCACTGCTCTCTTTTTGTTTGTCCTTATGTCATGAGAGCATGGGTGCTTGGCAAACTGGTGAAGCCCCTTGTCACCTGTCTCCCATGTCAGAGCAGGACCTCACTGTTTACTTCGATGCTGTGCTGGATTTTTGTTTCAAACCAGCACTCTACAGATAGTTTTAGACAAACCAGTAATAATTTGTATGGACTGCAAAATACTTTTCTCTCAGGATGTTGTGTTGTGCTTTGAGTACATTTGAATACACTGAGGTGACATTCATAGACTCTTAGAGAAATCACCATCCATTGCCATGACACCTGGCAGGCTTCACCCAAACCCCCCAGAGAGGTGAATATCCTGTTTCCACAGGTCATCAGGAAAAGAGACCCCACAACC